AACCTTTATTGCTTGAAAAATGGTTAACAAGTTTAAATGGATATTTATAGTGGATATCTCCTATTCTTCAGAATGAAAACCGTTCCTTGACATGTACACAGTTTTCAAGGGTTGGTTTGTAGGGATCTGATAAGTTTCAAGTTTGAACCATGGATTGATATTTGTTAGTGAGGGAGTACTGGACAGCTGTTTTGGTCCTAGTTTGGGACTACTCATAAGTATGCACCCACGAGCTCACCAGGAAACAAACCTGGAACCACCTAGTTACGGGACCAAGCTCATTGACTATTCAATCACTTTCTCTATGACTTCTAACTACCATAATTTCGCTTCTGATAGCACCACCGCCAGCCAATGTCATCGGCGACTATTCGCCCTCACAACTGACCAAACTGGTGGGCCCAAATGATCACTTGAGCTTGAAATAAATCATATATATGCAAACTACCTCTTGAAAATTAGTCTGGTGTTCACTAGTGACCGACTGAAGGGCGAATTTGCCTGGAGTTCTAGTTAGAAGTTATCATCAGTTAGAACCACCAGGTAGGGCGTGAGGAAAAATACTAGTCGATAGCGCTGGCTGGTTGTGGCGCTAACAATCGTGAATTGAAGGTCTGATATTCGAAATTCAATGGGGTCGCTTGTGAGTACTGCTGAAGAATCCCAAACCAGGAGTAAACAGCTGTCCAATTTACTCCCTGTTGGCTTCCAATGGTTTTCTAACTGACATCAACCCGTGATCAGACGTGAAACATATACACAACTGTACCTTTTCACATACAAAGCCTTAACAATATAAGTTACTTATGCCACATCATCTTCCAGTAACACTGTTACCAAGACTAATAATATTCAGAATCTCCTTCTGAAGGTATAATTTTTTTCCCTTTTTATTGCACTCTAGGATTCAGATAGAGTTAGATTTATTGATGGAATATCTAAGATTATGGATATTTTATTGCAGACGTTCGATACAAATTCATAAGGTCACTAGTACAGCATGCAATACGTACAGATTTACCCAAAACTAAAATATTATTGGAGAAGTTATACATAAACATTTTTAATCCACATTACTTTTATCTAACAGACATAAAGGCATGAATAGTGTCATCTGTGAACAAATATATACTACCTCCTACACAACTTCATGTATAAATTCCGTTTTTATAACAACAACAACAACTAAGATCTAGTGTTAGAAATTTGGAGGTGGTGTGGACTAAAGTGTTTTGTACTTTGAACACAATTTTTGTTGGTGTTATTACATACACACCTGGGTTTATGAAAATCATTATGTGTAACCTACAATAAATAGTATGTACGAGATAAAAACGAGTATAAACTATTGGCCTAAAGAGATGTTTAACACAGAAATTCTGTAAACAAATCCCCTATCGCCAAGAATATAACACTTTTTCAAACCTTATTGAACAACAAAAGGACGCTTCAGTAAGCTTAAGCAAGAGGGCAACAATCAAATAACCTTGAGCCGACCAATCATGTGCTTCTAGGTAAAAGTGGCATTCATAGTATGTTTAATGTATAATAAAAACGAATAACGTAGGGCATATGTCTCTAATATGCTGCAAAAAGTCCCAGTTTTCCATAACAGTGGCTATAGACATACACCATTCTAATCCCTTTATTGTATATGCCTAAAATCCTTCAACAGGATCTGTATGAATACTGGTCATAGGATCCACTAATTCTGATGAATGATTGACTTTACGAATATAATTATTTTAGGGATTCAGTTATGCCTCATATCTATTATCTTTAAATTCCAAGGGAAAATATATGGACAAACAGAAGGTGTGGCAATGGGATCACCAATATCCCTATTGTAGCGGATATATTTATGGACAGCTGGGAAAATATTGCTCTTAATACATTTAATCCTACTCCAAAAATATGGTGGAGATATGTAGATGACACTTTCACAGTGTTAAAAACAGAACATATCTCTAGCTTCTTGACACATATAAACTCCCTAGTAGAGGGAATAAAATTCACATTTGAATCGGAAAATAAACAAGGAGAATTAGCTATGTTAGATTGTAAAATAAAACGAATAGAAGAAGGTAAACTACACACTAGCGCTTATAAAAAACCAACTCATTCCAATAGATATTTAAACTTTAATTAATCTCATCCGTTAACTGTTAAGGCAGGCTTAGTTAAGTTTCTAACAAACCGAGTAGTAGCACCAAGTAGTACACGAAAAGACCTAAATGATGAAATAAAACAGACAGAAGTAGCTTTGGTGTCAAATAACTATCCTATAAAATTCATTAGGAAGATCAGTAAAGGCCAAAAGCAAAATAAAAATAATGGTGAAACTAATAAGGACAACGTAAATAAGAAAATATAAGGCATCTACTGTTATACCATATAAGGAGGGTACATCTGAGACACTACGTGAGATTCTTAATAAAGCAGGAATTAGGGCGGCATTCAAGCCTACAAACTTACTCAGAGACAAACTCTGTTGGCTAAAAGACCCGATGAACCCAATTAAACAAAATAATATAATTTACAAAATACCCTGCAATGACTGAGATCAACTATATATGTCAAACTAGTAGATCGGGGGTATTCAGATTTTCGGAACATAAGAATGTAGCTAAGGCAAGAATGGTTGACCCCGAGAAGATAAGTAATTTAGAAAAAAGCTCAGCAATTGCACTACATGCATTAACACAACCACACAGTAGGGTGGGAGAGGGTTAATATTCTAAGGTGTAATCTATGTAGGTGGAAAGATTGATTACTGAATCCTGGTTCATTGAGTCTACACCCAACACATGCAACAGAAATGACTCAATGCAAATACCAGAAATATTATTGTATTATCATTTTTGTTCCCTTGGGTTCCTAGTGGAACATAGAGCTTCAACTGCACGTCTCCACTCGCTTCTGTCTTCTGCTGTACTTTTCACTTGCATCCATGTTAGTCCATACTGTTTCAACTCCTCTTCACACGATCTCCTCCATGTCACCCTTGGACGTCCCACTCGCCGCTTCCCTTTCGGCTTCCACTTGACGGCCTGACGCGCGATGTCACCCAACGGCCTCCTCAGTGAGTGTCCAATCCATCTCCACTTTCTCTTACATAGTTGTTGGTCGACTGGTTCTTGTTTTGTTCGTTCCCATAGTTTCTTGTTGGTGATTCTTTCCGACCATCTGATCTTCAGTATAGAGCGAAGACAGTTGTTGATAAAGGTATGCAACAGGCTGTTGGAAATATTCTTGGTGACCCGCCAAGTTTCTGATCCGTATAGAAGAACTGACTTGACGTTTGTATTGAAAATCCGAATTTTGTTGTTGATGCTGAGTGACGAAGATTTCCAGATTGGTTTCCGGTTGATGAATGTGTTTCTCGCCTTCCCGATTCTCGATTTGACATCCTCGTCCGTTCCTCCTGTAGTTGAGACAATGCTCCCTAGATAAGTGAGTGAAGTAACCTCTTTCAAATCCCTCTTGTTGATGGTGATTGGCGCTGGATGTTGCTGCTGTTGTTGTTGGTTGGTTATTTTTATAACCGTCTTGTCCATGTTCCCCAATACCAAAAATATGGAAGATATTATCACCGCCAGTCAAATTAGAAGAGGATAATAAATAATCTCAAAATTCTATTTCAATTCAAGCACATCACAACATTCTAACAAGTTACTTATTATGACTATAAAAACACTCGCCTTGTTTCCCATCTGATTGTAATTGATCAATAACACTCATATTATTATTTCTGAATGTACATTATCACATGTTGATTTTTATTCAAATATCTGGTCAATTCCACACATGTATATGAATGAAGGAAAAAGTTGTGTGAGTAGCTTGATATGATTATGAGCAATAATTTGTGTTGGAAACGTCATCATATAATATTGTTGTGTAACACTGTGTGACTTATCAAAATAAAATCTTATCTATAATGAATATAATCCGATGATGATAGATACATTGTTTAACATATCTAATGGATCCTAGCCTTAATCTTCGTCACAAGTTCCACCCTAACCTTAACCGTAATCCTAACCGTGAATCAGGTTGAAACTTGCAAAAAAAATTATGAAAAGCATTCACCTGTAATGTTTAGCGATTTGATCGATTGGTTCAAGGTCATTTGGCAGCAGTATCTATTCTTTACTCTTGCCGAAAAGAGATATTGTCAAATCTCTCGCATCTGGTTCAACTAATCATCAGAAAACCGCTACATAAAAAATGTAGGGAGTGAATTTACAATAACGGTTAGCCGTTTTGGAAACAAAAACGAGAAGATTAAAAAGCCGTCAATCATTGCTTCCCAAAACTAAGAATGAAGAAATAATGCCACTGTAGTAAAAAATTACCAATTTGTTAAATGATTGGAGTTAATCGGCAGGACGCCTTGGACCTAGGTTTCGTGCTTGTTAGCACTCGTCAGCAAGGCGTGTCTGCAATCTTGAGGGTACTCACGTCCCCACTGTGTCTGACTGCATCTCTCGGTGACCCGGGTTCAAACCTCAGAAAGGACATAAGTCCCTGGTGGGTGCCAACAAGCATGAAACCTAAATCTAAGGCCTCCTGGCGATTGCTTCCAATCATCTAGTGACTACAATTCAGCATGTATTGTGATGGCAAGCCACCTGACATAGTACACTGACCATATGGTAAACCTGACTGATAGAATTCAGTCTGCACCTAACGAAGGATTAGACACGCATGAAATTAGTTAATACCTAACGCCTAATCAAATTACTAGTTCAGTTTTAAAAATTAAATATCAACCGAAAGCTTGTAGATCGAACTTCAATCAAAAATTTAAACATCATCAATAAAATACTAACAGGTAAAGTTAACATTTCGATACAGAAAGATTACTGGATAAAAAAGCTATGCTAGCCTTTTTCTTCTGAGGAGAACAAAAAGGAAAATAGTTAACGTTTAAATATCCTCTCGGATAGTTTTCTTTTTGGTTATAATTGAATGTCAAATCAGTACATAAGACTAACCTTTGCAGAAGCATCACATGCACCCGAAATAAATGTCTGGAGATTTGGTGCAAGACTTAAGCTCATCACATCTCCTGTGTGTCCGGTAAAAGAAGCAATCTGTTGTCCAGTTTCAATATCCCAAAGTGCACTAAAATGTGACAGAAACAGAAATCAATACTATAAATTCTACATCCACTAAAACAAAGCATATGAAATGAATCGAAGAATAATATTTTAATTTTACTTAAGATTTTGAAAATTTGAAATACATATTCAGCAGCTACAAAAGTGAATCCAAAAGGTAACTGATTACACTGACCGAGTCAAAACATACACTTTAGAGTCAATGAAAAACTAGTACCACCTCGTTTCAGATGAAAAACTGGAATGTATCAAAAGTATATTTAATATATCACAGGGCTTAACTTCTTTATTATGACCAATGTGCAGATAAAAACTCATTTTTAAGGTTAAAGAATAGTACACAACATTAACTGTGAGGATTTTTTTAATCTGATATTCCAAAATCATACTAGCAATGAATTCACAATTCAATGATAAATTTAGTGATTACATTGACTAAACTTATTTATGAGGTTTTATTGAGTGGTCGAACCGACAAGCGAATCAAATTTGTCATTTGCAAATTAGACAGCTAGACGTGGAATTTCACCACAAAATTATTCAGATTACAATACATCATCTGCTTGATATCATAAAAGGCAGCCAACGGACAGAATATAAAAGCATGGTGCTATATACTCCTGATTGACTGATATGCGAAGTTAGATAAACACCCACATCAAACTGGGTACAACGCTGATAAGTTTGGCCCAAAATGAGTAAAACAGCCATCCGATGTTTCGATCACTTCGACCCGACCAACAATCACTACTCGCTGATGTCAGTGGTGCCCAACTACTTATACATCAGACAATCTATCAGTAGCATTTAGTGACATGAACTGATAACTGCTGAGTTGCAGCTTAAACCACTTGTAGTTGAGAGCTATTGAGAAACGCCTTCTATTGATGCCTAAAAACTTAACTTCCCATCAGCTATGGTCAATTTTGATTTGAAATCACCATCGGCAGTTGTATACTTCATCCGCTTGTTGATTGCATATTTCACATGAAGATGTAGGCGTAAGAATGGGGATATGACAACAAAAGGTAAAAAAGGTTTCAATATTGCGTATACAGAGATAAACTTAAGACAAATCTTAAATACTAAACTTTTATGATGTCGAGTAACTTACTTCTAGTTATCCTCAGAAATGTTTCGTAATGAACTTATAGATGACACACGAAGGCTGTTTTATTAGCCACCACTATGAATGCTCTCAGAAGTGATGTTTATTACAAATGAGGACGACCTCTAGATGCGAATCAGTAACCCACTACACGAAAACGCAACAATATTGGTCAATAACACGACACTACAAAAACACCCAGCTTTCATTGGTTACGGTAAACTACGCAAGATTTAAAGAAAACTTTAGTTTATCAAAGTTATATACGCATTATTCATACTTTCTGTGTAACCCTTAGAAACTGTTGTGAATGACAGAGACTGATGTCGGAATTTTTTTCGTTACCTAGCACAATATAGGTAAGTTATTAATTCCGTTGTATTCTCTGAGAGACTGATTTAATTGCTACGTTTTTGTTATCCTTCTAGAGTTGCTACACTCTATATCCGGATATTCAGTAGGTAGTAAAAAATGAGGCAAAAGGATGATAAGATAAAATAAGTAAAGAATTTCGAAAGTAAGATGAAGAAACCAACAACGAGTCAATGTAGAAATTTGCACGAAAGGAAGAATGTAATTATGATGGATTTTAGTGCTGTAATAACTAGTCTCTATCTATAGGTTTCAGTAATTGAATAGACACCAGTAGGATGACACAAGCTCCTTTACACGGTTCGTAACAACGGCAAATGACTTTTTTACGGTCACGTCTTTACCTATTCACTGTCTGCTTTAGTCCTAGCACAACAATACGAGACAAACGGTGAATAAGCAGATGTGACATAGCCACCTCAGGTACTGCAGATTGATAATATTTACTTTTCATACTTAATACCGTATGTCTAAATTCTACACCGCTAACTTGCTTCTGACTTCCAGTGGAGAATTAGATGATAAATTTACAAGGAAACATTATCTTAGGTTGACACACTTCAAAACAAGGAGAAACAAGCGTGTATAGAAGAGAAAGAATGATTTAATGTAGAACGATGATATTCAAAACTTCGAAGAAGTCAAGAATCGAATACATATAGGCAGTCAAATCGCTTGTTTTAATTTGCCACACTAAAAAATGGAGAGGAAATACGGAAATGAAGTGCCCCTGACTACTTGGTTTTGACAGTTTGAATTATCTCCATAAATTTATCGACATACTACATCTCTAGCGTCATTTGTAATCATGCTGATTTGTCTGGAAAAGCGATTAGAATATCCTTCTTAGAGAACACAGCACCAGAAACATAGGAGCTACAAACCACTACTACCACTGAAAGTGCAAATTTTACTATTTCAAGCTAATAATGACATACTACGGAGTGCTTGCTAGCCATGTGTATTACGTTTATTTAACCTTATTCTATCACTTTCTTCAACTCTCCCTCAACTATTCGATTCTATTTTTAGACAGCAACTCACTACTGTCACTCTTACCCGTTCACTTTGAGCATTTCATCTTATTTCTACACTATTTCCACACTCGTCAATTAGGACAATCAACCAACATGTTTTGCATTTAACAACAATTCTTCCGTCAAATTTCAAATCTTTACTTTCAACGTCTTGTGAATGATTGCATAATTTTTTCATATCTCTAAAAGCCACTTTTGAGTTACTGTAAAAATGGTTTCACATACACGTTTATCAAATGCTTGTACATAAAAATCCAGTAAGGACACGATATTTATATGCATCCACAGTAACTACCTGGAAGTTGTATATAATACAGATTGATTAGGATTTTACTTTTAGATTGTATCACCCAGGAAATAAGCCACAAATAGAAAAAAATGCAGTAAAACTCAAAACAAATATAACTATGGTACATAAAATGCTATCGGAATGATGAATTCTCAACAAAGTAGGAGATATATGCACTGAACGATAAGAATGTGACATTTACAAGTCATTCCAGGTGATAACGCAGTTTATAACTTGAAATGAAACGACCTATGCGAAAATGAAAGTATGACAGAAAGGTCAAATTTCATTTGTACTGAATTACACAAAAGTAACTAAACTTACCAAGTCCCATCACCTGATGTGGTAACTATCTGGCTATCATTCACAAAACGGCAACAAGACAGATAACCAGTGTGGCCAGGAAGCTCCCGACTAACCCGAACATTGCCTTCACGTGTTTTTAGGCTATATATTGAACATATGTTGTCCAAACCGCCACATGCTACATAATTACCCGAGGGTGAGTATGCGCATGTCATAACCCAGCTGCTTCTCAGAGGAATAGCATGAACCTGAGGTAATCAAAATTAAAAAACATTATAAGGCTGTGCATGCTGACAACTGATTAAATACATGTCAGTCACTAACACATTAGCAAAGCAAATATATGGCGAAAACTTCTATTAAGACTGATGAATAAGCCAAATTGTGTATCGAAAGAAGGAAAAATAAAGTAGAACTAATTACTTAAAGGATATACAAATCTGCTTTTCATGAATATACATAGGCATACTCTAAGCCCTAAGCTAGTTTCATCTTGAGTAATTTTGAAGTGCTAGAAAACAACACGTAAGGTACAAAACAGTCTTAGAGGTATATTTTCCGATTGTAAACACAAGCGAATAGATACATCCAACATAACCAGATTGACTGACACAACTCATAAACGTGACACTAACCTATGAGGTATATTACTGTCTAGAAAACACAAATCTATTCGGCCTTTGTCATCTAAAGTTTGAAAACCTACACAAATCTTCGTTTCTTTATTCTTTCTGTCATGTTTACGCTTGTGTGCTTCTAGGCAGGTCGATTTGAAATGGTACAACTCTGCGCATATATCTACATTAATTAGGGAGTAAATCTGTTAATTGCCTCTCCAAAAGCATGTAAAACTTTGAAATAACACACTCACATCCGTAGGTGCAACAATAGGAAAATTAAGTACAGATGATGTGACTATACCAGGTGGAAACTACCGGTTTTTATAGACTACGTAACTGAACATTCACCGTTACTGCTGCATTACTACGAATGGAAGCTCTTAGCTAGCATGCTTCAATTTTCTATTACCTCGTCTCATAACCATATCGAGGAAACTTTTTCTCGATTAGTGGAATCAGAGAGACTGCAGGTCAGAAGGTAAGGCATGTGTCAAGCATAGGTCACTACTTGTGCCTCAATAAGTTGTATAGTAAAAGAACCCTCTTTCGAGTCCGAAGCCCACCTTGTTTGATTTAGACTTTTGCTACATAACTCCAGTTCGACATCAACTAAGTTCTACAATTTCGGCACATTTATAACTTGGATAAAATTTGAAGATCAAATACCCTCATTTCGTGCTTAATGTATTTAGCGATCTTTGAAAATTAAAAAGATCCAGTAAATTAGTCTTTCTTGGTCAATATTTTGTCATACGAGTCCGGAAAGTGAGGCGGTGGAGAATTAATATTCGACCCGTGAATTTCGCCTGGCATTACAGGCATTTCTCTGTAAATAAGTGATTATTCAGAGTAGGTGAAATACCTCTGCTGGTTTTACATGTCATTATTCAGTTTGGGCTTTCAATATAGTTACACCTCCAGTAAATTCACATTATTCTTCACTTCAAGTTGACTGGCCCTAATACGAACCAGAAAACTAACCTAATACCCCAGCTTCTTTGTCTTTTACTCTAGGTTATCAGTGTCATGGTTCTCTTTCGGTTTCTGCGTAAGCGAATGACACACAGTTGTTTAATCAATGCTTACATGATTCTTCAAATGATACGAAGTAATATAAATTTAACAGTAGTAAAACCGAGGGCAGAAAATACTGTGTAGTAACTTAAGAAGAGGTGATTACCAGCAAAAGTACGCCACTAAAGATTCTTCGCCAGAGATATGAGCTCTATTAACATAAGGAATACCAAGATGATCATGTCATAGAAACTACTTTTTCATATCCATATGCAGAGACGAAAAAACTACGTTAATATGAAAATTGGCCAGTGAAGCGTGAAGTAAATCGGCCGAATGAAATACGAATAACTTTAAAGAGTTCCATACTAACATCAGAAATCATACATACTTAGATGGGGACAAACAAAACTGGTTATTCAACTATCCACAATACTCAATATGTGACGTCGCATAAGCATTAAACAATTATTTGGCACGACTAAATAACACACCTTGTTGGTAGTATATCCATCCCATACAATTAATTTTCCATCTTGCGAAGCTGATACTAGATTACGCGAATCCGAACACCAATGCATGGCATATATTTTTGCCAGGTGGCCCCGCAAAGTCCTCCTGCTTCGCAGTTGAGTACGGTTAATATACTCCACATCCGCAGTTGCTTGTTGCAAAGTAATATCAGCAGCAACTCTCCGTGCTTCCTAGGAAAACAAACAAAATAAATCTTAACTGATCTTGAATCGTACTCTGATTTGACTCTTAAGTTGCTCAGTTTCCTGACGCAATTGATCTAGCTCGCCCATATTGCGTTATGACGGGAATACTAATCTCAAAGGGGAAGATATACACTACACATCTATCTTGACCAACATCTCAGGTGTTTAAGAAGATGGTGAGTGTATTCTCAATTGGAGCGTTAAAACAAAGAGGAATACCATATCACTTATCACACATTAAAATATAATTTGCTTAAAGGAATCAAAATACATGAGGCTTTTCAAACAAAAATACGTGACAAGGCTATCAAAAACACACAAATGAGATTTGAAAGTTAGCTTCGACGGTTTTCACTTACAATATCTGATAGCCCTTTTACAACCTAGTGTAAACCGAAACAGTTTCCTCGTGATCGCTTCTTGGTTGTAAGATAAAGGCTTCTGATCTTTGATAAACTTCTGCGTAGTTCCTGCCACCCATTGCCTGTCGCTGCTCTGAATCACTCCAAGGGGATTGGTAGGTAATACCCCAAAATTACTAGCCACAGCACTCATTACTGAGTAGTGGATGCCAACCCCCACTGTTTAAGTGGAACTGTTTAGCTGAATGCCCGCGATCAAGCATCGACGCCGTTTGGTACACTGTCGTGTTACGTTAGATCGTTCGTACAAAATCCCCAGCCATTTGAGCAATCATCCTAGCGCTACAAATTTGGTCGTATTTTGAGTGGTCAATTTGGTGCTTTGCCGTGTCTTTGGTCTACGCGGAACGAATACACAGAAGTTATGGGTATAACATCTTGCGTTGGTATACATCGTATTATCCATGAACGTCAACACCCTCAGCCTCCGAAGTACCTGGATGGGTGATATGCTGTTTGTAGAATTGGGTGTGTCAAAACCGTGTCGTTACTGTGAATGTGGTTAATACTTTCACCTGTTAGCCATCTGGTTTGTTCAAAAGAGATAATAACAGTAAATCATAAGAAGCAGGAGTATTAGATATAATAGTGACGATTATATTGACTCAAAAAAGGAAAAACATAAACGATTAGATTCATTAATTTTAAAAGAAATTACACAAATATATACATGTATTTAAAATGAACCAATATAACTAGTTGTCAAATTGGTGGAACAAGGGAGAATTAGCAGGACTAAAGGACGAGTTTAGATGAGTAGCCATTAATATTGTGTTAGTTTTAGAGGGACAGGCAATTTGGACGAAGTCCTTGTGTTTCTTCATAATTGTCCAGTTTCCTCTCAAAGCTTTCCACTTACGCTTTAGTAGCCACATCCGCCAGTGGAGAGTTCCGTGGGCGTCAAGCACCAGGCGAAAAGAAATGTGAGCACACCTAAGTCTTTGCTGTCTGATGAGCTATCCACTAGGAGGCCCTTATGTACTTAACGACAAAATACCATTTTTTGGGTGATCCTGGTAATTTGTAATCTTTTAGGCTCTAATCAAGTTACCCCAAAGCTGATGGTAGCTAAATATGAAAAGACTGAATTTCTTCAGCCTTTCATCATATGACTTATTTTGGAGACATCACCACTTCGGTCATTCGTCTTTTGATTGTTTCCAAAAGATTAGTGTCCCTTCAAAGTAACGCAGCAGCAATGATATTATGCTCTTCAAAGCCTTTTCTTATGTATATTTTGTAGCACCTTAGGAAAAGGTGAGATCACCTGGCTGTGCGATGTGTATAACCACGTATGCCCTGGCTACATCATCCGTGTAATTCAGGGGTTAGAACTAGACCTAAGTCGCACTCTGACGTTGTGCAGGACAAGTTATCATTGCACAGGTAGTAACTTACACTTACAGGCACATTGTTGCACTACTCTCTTTTTTCAGGTTGAAGTCATACCAGTGAACAGTGCAGAGCATCCTAGAAGTTTCCGACCTGCCTGCAGCTTATCTGAATCTTCCGAACGCTTTACTGATCTCCAAATCCCTGGATCGTCAGCGCAAAGAAGAGCTAGATAGTTTGAAAGGCATGACAGGTCACTGGTAAAAATCGAAAATACTGATGGCTCTAAGAAAGAAGCCTGTGATACTCTTGATGCCGTACTCTTCCAGGATTATTGGACATGACTGATTTGGTTCGAAATTTGGTTTTGTCCAGATAGTACTCTAATTATGAGAAAATTGGGCTATCAATACCAGTCTGGCTTATTTGGCGAAGAAGTTCATATTTAACTGTGTCAAATACCTTCGCGAAATCGTGGAAGATCACGCGGACTGGGACATTCATATCTCAACATGAAGTCTAATCATTCCGAGCAGACAATATACTCGTCACTCAGGAGTTTGTGAGTTTTGACTCCACGTTACTTGACAGGACTACCAGTCAGACTTTCCATTACCTTCGATACTACTGGGAATAGTGCTACTGGTCTGTAACTCTTTGCGTTTTGTTGATCGCTACCCTTGAAGATGGGAGAAAAGAAGGCTGTATTCCACCTCCCTGGCAGTTTCCCTGAATCTTTAAGTGTTGGTACAGATCACGCAATAGCCTACAGGAAGCTTCTGCACACTTTCAGAGCAGATGACTGGATGTCATCACAGCCTGTCGACTTTCTAGAGGTGAGTTTCTGTGACTTCCCTAGCACTATTACAGGAATTATTTGGAGTATAACCATTGGGTTTTCCTTTGATTGACTGACAGTATGATTCATATTACCTTATAACGATAATACATGCAGTGCTGTTTAGCTGTCTGTCAAAGGCAGAGGTGAATGTTTCAGCCGTCTCCCAGCTAGTGAGATATTGACCATTTAGATCTACTTAGGAGCATGCACTATGCTTTGTCGGCTTTCCATATTATATTAATTGGCATAGGCGTTTTGGGTTTCCTGGTAGGTTTAGCCTGAAATGGCCTCCTTTCACCCCTAACCCTTGTGCTACAAAGGTTCCGGAGTTCCAGGTTCGCCTCAGGGTCTGTCTGACTCTCATGGATTTGCCATGTAAATCACGCTTTCCGCTCTTCTTCCAGAATACGTTGGATATGTTGCATACATCTGTTCAGAAGTATTAATGTGTATATGAAAGAAGAGAACATGAAGCTCAGCGAAGATATCTTTTCGGCGATTTCATTTTCAAAAGTTCTACAATCGCATTTAAATACATAATTTTAAACGGGTACAATTTTTACTTCATTCCACATAATTACGAAGGCGAATAAAAAAGTGACAATTATTTTCAACTAGATATGGTGCACGAGGAGCTCGCCACTTCAACCAATTCTAGACATGTCAGGGTCGCCATACAATTCAACCCCCAAATTGCTGTCCGAAATGTTGGAGTTCGTAAGACGACACCTATGGAAGCACTCCGCCCATGATGCTTTTCAGCTCGTTGAATGTATAAAAGACTTGAATTTAAATGGTAAACGAATGTTATGCCTAGACATCAAGTCTCTTTTTGAAAGGTGCCACTAACGAATAATTTGCTTCCTGTATGGTTACATGGATAGCTCGAATATAAGTATCAGAATACCAACACCACAACTGAAAGAATTGTTGCTGAGATGCACACTGAATGTTCAATTTGCCTTCAACGTCAACATCTAAAGATAGAAAGATGGAATTGCGACGGGATCTCCTCTTGGCCCGCTTTTAGCAGACTGCTTTATGGCCAGTTTGTAAAGCGGCTTTTTAAAATCAACGATAAACAATTTATTACTGTACAAAAGGTGCGCCAAATATACCTCAATAATCTGCTACGATAATTCCGACTTCAATTGTATGTTATAAGAATTTAATAATTCCCATCATTCGATTAAATTCACAATAGAATTGGAAAACGATTCAAAAATTGCATTTCTGGACGTGGAATTAATGAAAAGAGATGATAGAACTCTGAAAAGATTCATCCACAGAAAACCAATGTGGGACGGTCAGCTAACGCATTTCTGTATTTCTATACCTTGGAGCCGAAAACGAGCCCTCATCATCTCGCTAACCCATCGCATTAGAAAAATCTGCAGCAGAGGTTACTTGGAAGAGGAGCTCCTATTCCTCAAAATATCCTGACTGAAGATGGTTATCCAACAGGTTTTATTGGCAAGAACACGAAACCCAAGCCAAAAAGAGAAGAATGCCATTCAACGCCGAAGAAAACTCTGTATATGCATCTGAACTTCAGAGGAGATTTGGCAGCTGATACCCTAAAGAGGAGAATATCCATCTGTTTAAAGAAGACCTTCCCTGCAGCAACACTAAGAGTGAAATTCTCTGGCCGTCAAATACTTCGAAACAACGCTAAGGACAAACTCTCTCATATGACCAATTCAATATGCATATACCAGTTCACCTGTTCGTGCGAGGCTAGGTTCATAGGTCGTTGTAAGCGCGTCCTTCCCAACGTGTTAGAGAACATTGCCCGGCAATGGATAAAGGCACACATAGAGTGTCGTTATGTGTTATCGTGGTGTTGTACTTGGGTTGTTCTACGTTATTTTCAGGTGTTTTCCACTGAATTACATTATAAAAACCATATTTTGACGAAAAAACTTGGAAAAATGGTGGCAAGTAGACGTTTTCAGCAGTTTGAGTGAACATGTATATGTCATCGAATTTTGTTGTTCCTTTGCATGTGTTATGTTATAATTCTGTGTAAATTGTTGATTGCGTTAATGAAAACGAAATAAATTAGGTAAATGAAGTATTTTTCGCGAAATTCCGAAGTGGTGTTTTGAATCTCTGAATTATGAAAACTTGATAACAGTCAGAAGAGCTTACAGCTGTAAAGGAGTGTTACTTGACTTATTCGCAACATAACATTGAAGAAACAAAGCTTTTACTAAGATGTCCCTTGCTTTTTAGCAATTTTGGGTTGGTAAGTATTTGCTAACGGAATTATCAATGTTGTTGGTTTTCAGGTTACAATTGTAATGATTCACTTGATTTGAGAGCTTTGATGAACTGTAACTGAAGAATTTTCGTGTTAACTTTGGAATCTTTGTGATATTATAAAATTCTTTATAAAAACAAATATTTCCTGGATTTTGTAACGGTATTTTTGAACGACTACTTATTTTGCTTGTCGAAGGTATAGTGATGTAGCTATTTTTGGAATTTGT